CCTCCTCCTCCTCCTCCTCCTCCTCCTCCTCCTCCTCCTCCTCCTACTCGCGTCATCGGCGTGATCCGTCGCCAGATGAGGCGGCGCTGGCCTCGCGTTTCGAGGGTGCCCTCTCCGATCAGTGGATCCGCCACTCACGCGCGAGATCCGCGGATCCCTCAGCCATGTCCCCCTGCGCCCGACAGAGTCCGCCAGCCATGGTTTGCGCGCCCTGCACGGCGGGCTGGGACGCCGTCAAGCCGCGCCGACTTCTAGTCGGGGTTGCGGCGTCGGGGAGCGAGGTTCGCAGTTCGAGGGGCTCGGCGGCCTCGTCAGGCCACGCGCCGCCCAGCTCCGACGGGCGTTCTTCGCAGGAGGGGAGGGAGGCGAAGGACATGTGCCCCCATCCCCGCACTCTCCCGCACAAGGGCCTGGCCAGGTCTGCTGCCTTCGCTGCGGTGGCAGCGCCGGGGCCGCGACGGCCATGCTGGGAGGCGCGCGCCAGGGGTGGCAGAGACGCTTGCCATCGCGGGGGCTGGCGCTGCTGCTCCTAGACAACCTGTGCTGCGTCGGGGGCTGCGCAGTCGGATTCGCCGCTCTGGCTGCGCGCCGCATCGCGCAGTTGTCACAGGTGTCCGAGTTAGTCGGGTGCCACCTCGGGGCGCCTGCGGTCGCGCATGTCGCCCGAGCCTGCTTGTTAAATCAAAACCATCCCCGCGTGGACGGCTACAGAGCGGCCCGGCCCTGGCCAAACCTTCGGCGGCAGCAACGCAGCCGCCGAGGCGGGTCCCGCCGCGCCGCCAGCGCCTCCTACACCTTCACTTGAGCATGCTCCTTGCGGCTTGACCGGGGGGACTGCTCCAAGTCGACCGTGCGCTGCTTTGTCTGCTGACGCAAGTCGGCATTTCGTGCCCCTCGCGCCCGTGAGCCGTCGCGGCCACCTGGCCTCCCGACCCTTCGGACCCGCGGAGGAGGGAGAGGAAGAGGAGGTGGAGGAGGAGGAGGTGGAGGAGGAGGAGGAAGCAGGAGCAGGAGGAGCGAGATGGAGGAGAAGACGACGAGGAGGAGACAGGACGAGGGACGAGGAGGAACGTGAAACGAGGAAGAGGTCTTCGCTGTCTCCTGCGTGAGGAGGCAGCGAGGAGGGGCCCCGGAGGCCCGCACTGGTCGTGGACGAGGACCGGCTGGCGCACGCGCAGCGCGTGGCGGGCGCCGTCGGCGGCGCTTGCGCCCGGGGCTCAGACGCACCCCGAGGGACCTCGCTGGGCCTCGGCGGCCCTCGCCGCCGCCGACGACGACGACGACGACGACGACCACGACCACGACCGCGACCGCGACCGCGACCGCGACGATGACGACGACCACGGCCACGATCGCGACCACGACCACGACCGCGACCACGATCACGGCCACGACCACGACCACGACCACGACCACGACCACGACTACCATTGCGACGATCATTGCGGCGACGACGACGACCACGACGACGACGACCACGACGACGACGACCACGACGACCGCGACGACCGCCGCGACGACGAAGACGGGAACGACGATGATCATTACCACCACGACCACCACCACCACGGCCACGACGACCACGACAAGCACGATCACCACGGCTACGACACTCGACGACGACGACGACGACCACGACGACGACGACGACGACGACGACGACGACGACCTCGACGACTTTGACCATCGCCTTCGCGGGTCACGACCACGACGACGCCAGCCATCGCTGGCCCTTGCCGACGACGGCACGACGGCCGCGGCGGCGGCAGCGAAGTCGCACTCGTCGCCGGCGCCGTCGCCGTCGCCGTTGGTGCCGTCGAGTGTCATCGTCGTTGCCGTCGCCGCCGCCGCCCCGCGTTCCAACTTGGCATGGCAACCACGCCGCGCAGGGGACCTTCCGCGATCACCTGGGCCGGAGCTTAGCTATGAGTTGTGTTCCCCGCGGACGGTGCGCACGGATCGCTTGGCAGTCTCTCAGCACATGGGCCGGCAGGGAGGAAGGCTGCGAGAGGGACAGCCGAGCGTGGACAGGGGGCAGCGACGCGATGGAATGGACAGGCCATGGCGATGATCTTCGACGCGCCTATAGGAGGTGTGCTCTACATGTTCGAAGAGATAACAGTAGCATCCTGGCGCCCCGGGGGGGGGGGAAGGGCGACGAGCAAGACAGGGAAGTCGCGGCCACATCGTTGAGGACTACATAGCGGGGTCGAAGGAGGTTACGGTTGCCTTGCCCACAGCTTGCAGGGATGAAGATTTTCCGCACGTGCAACCATCCCGATGTCGACGAATGAAGTGCATATCGTAGCAGATGAGCGCGTGTCACGGCGTTCGCATGGAGTTCGATCATGTGTATAGATGTGTGTACGACGCGCAGTCAATTGCAGCACGTATCATGTGTATCATATGTATAAGAGTTTAATGTGCAGTCATGTGTATAGACGTACTGGCATCGTGTTGATATGACGGCGGCAACGGCGAGATGATGGTGCAACGCAAGCGAAGGACGCGCTCGAGGGGTTGGAAGCACGGCACCACCACCGGCCGAATTTTGGCACCAGTCCTGGCCAGGCTCTAGTTGAAGTAGTGGACACTGGCCAACGCCACCAGGTTGGATTTGTGCAGAAGAGATTGATATTGCTGAATACCAGTCCTCCTTCAGCATCCCTAGACGTGGGGAGGCGTGCTAGCACTCTGACAGGCTGCCAGGCTGCTGTCGCTTGGCTGCCACGTTTAGCTGTGGCGAGGGGCCACTTGGCGGCTCCTGTTGCTGGGATTGGATGCTGTTCGGCGATGCCTCCAGGAAGTGGGCGCTGATGAGAAGGGGGATGAGGACAATGCGGGGGAGGAGGAGGAGGAGGAGGAGGAGGACGAGGAGGAGGAAGAGGAGGAGGAGGAGGAGGAAGAAGAGGAGGAGGAGGAGGAGTAGGAGGAGGAGAAGGAGGAGGAGGCGGAGGCGAAGAGGGAGGACCGGGAGGTCCCCCGAGAGGGGGCCCAGGCCCAGGGCCCGGGACCCTCCTGCTCTGCCCCTCTCGAGACCGGGGAGGCCAGTGGAGCTGACCTTCCGCGCCTTCGTGGGCACCATGATCTGCACCATGCTGTCGCGACCCCGCCGCCGTGCTTCCGCCCTCCCAGACATCGAGACGCAGGTTTTTCTAAGTTTTCGGCCTCTCGGGGCCCTCGCCGGGCCTCGGGACCGTCAAAAAACGACTCGGGATGAAAAACCGGTCCCAGGGAAGTGGTCGGGAGGTCGGGGGCCCGCGTCTCGAAAAAATCAAGACGTCGGATGTCTGGGCTGCCCCGCCCCCCGGCGAGCGCCAGCGGCTGCGGCCACGCGGCCGGCCGAGCCGACGACCCCCCGGCGCCGATGTTGTGGCGCGGATCCCGCTCTCCCGGCCCTGCTTGCCCGGACGGCCCGCGGGCACCGCTGCTCGACTCGGTGGGGAGTCGCCACGATGGGACGGGGTCCTGTCGACTACACTTCAGTCGGGCCTGTCCCTCTTCAGTTGATTCAGAACTAGTCAAAAAACAGTCTGGGGCCTATTTTCTGGGTGTTTGTTGGGCATCGTTTGAGCATTTTTGGGGAACTCTTAGTTTTCGCCCCAAATCCCCCCTGGAGGGGGACAGGCCCGACCTAAGGCTACACGCAGGAGCGGCCCTTCGCTGGAGTGCCCCCCTTGGGCGCGGGCTCACTGGCCAGGGTGCGCCTCGATCGCTGGATGCGGCAGCAGCGGCCTTCCGCGCTCGAGGCCGTGCCCGCCTCGGCCGCCTTGAGCCGCGCAGCAGCGGTCACTCCTGCCCGCGGTCGGTCGCTCCTGCGCGTGGCCGTGCCTCGGCGGCGAGCCGGGGTGGAGTGAGACCCAGACCCCCTCGCGTCGTGAAAAAATCACGACGGAAGGTTTTTTACTATTTTCGCCCTCTGGAGGTCCTCACCGGGCCGCGGGAGCGTCAAAAAACGACTCAGGATGAAAAACCGGTCCCGGGAAAGGGTCCAGACCTTTGGGGGTCGACGTCATGAAAAAATCACGACATCGGGGGTTTGGGGAAGGGGCGGGCCTTCTCCGAAGGCCTGGAAGCCCCCCAGCCTCCCGAGAAGTCTTCCAAGCCTCCCCCGGGGGCACAGGAAGCGTCTCCGAAGGCCGGAGGCCTTCTGAGAAGCCCCGCCGCCTTCTGAGAAGGCCTTCTCCTTCTCCCCCCCTCGCTCGCCGCCGAGTTCCTCGTTCTAGGTGGGGACGGGGACGGGGACCCGCTTCCCCAGGACTCGCTGCATATGCATGCCGGAAGCGGAGTTTGAGCACGCGGGTCGGCTTCGCGCAAGAGCGAGTGGCGCCGGAGTGACCAATCGGAGAGGGCCCACGGAGGCCCCCCGGGAAACCGGTTGGCGCGCTTGGCCTTGGCCTCCCCGCGGCCCCCTACAGCCGCGCACTGAAGGCTTCACGCTTGCCTAGATGATAGGGCCGCTCTCCAATCCGGGGGCAGAGAGAGCTTCGCCGCGAAGCGGAGCGGCCCTGCTGGCAACGGGCCCTGCAGGCTCTTCGCCGTCTCCGGGCTCTCTGGCACGGTCCGCCACAGCACGACCGTGCTGTGGCGGGCCGTGCCAGAAAGCCCGGCCCCGCGGGGAGAGACCCCGGGCTGGTCCAGGGCCCGCTCCCAGGTCGACCTGGGAGAGAGCACCCGTACCAGGGGGGGAGAGGCCCCGGGCCGGTCCGGGGCCCGCTTCTCCCTCGGAGCCGGCGCCTCCCTGGCGCCAGAGAGTGTCCGAGGGCGCAGGCCGCGCCCTTTTCAGCTCCCTGCCCTCCGGTGGGCCCCCTCCTCTCCCGCACCGTCCTCGCCGCCCTGGTGAGAGGGCAGGGCAGCCAGCGTCGTGTCGTGTCGACGTGGCGTGCACGCCGGTTCTCCTCTCCTCGCAGCGGCCCTGGCGCGGGCATTCCAGGTTCAACGCCGCTGGTGGCCAAGAACCGGCCAACATGGCACCATGGAGCGGTCGGTCGATCGGAGAGCCATCGATCTTTGAAGGTCGAACGATCCATGCTGTGTCCGAAACCAACGCCAGAGCCGTCTATGGCAAGAACCTGCCGTAATTAGGTCACCCCCAGGGGCGCGAAGATAGCCGCGCTTCGCACGTCGCGGCCTGGGCCAGAGAGGCGCCCCTCTCCCCAGAGGGCGCGTCGCGAGGGCGCGAGGATCCGCAAACCGCGCACCGGCGGGGCGCGATGCGCGAAGTCGGGTGACCCCGGAGAGGGGCGGCGGCGGTAGGGCGATGGCGGAGACCTCGGCCGAGCTCCACCGCCGTCGGGGTGTCGGGTGTTACCATCGCCAGTGTTGCTGTCCATCCGTGTGCTCATATTGGCTCTCCTACTCGACCCTGTCGCCACCTCGTCCCCCTCGCGCTCATACCTCCTGCTTCTCGTCATCCCTCCCCTTATCCTCCTCTCTCATGGTGGGATTCCGGTGGGCGGACCTAGACTTGGTATTTGTTCGCGCCAGCTTGTAACCTCCTCTCGGCGGCGGTATGGCAGACAGAGCGCAGGCCGCAGGCCAGCTATCTCTGAGGAGTTGTATATCTGAGAAGTTGTGCTACATGAGTACCGCTGCCCCTCTGCACCGCCATCACCGCCACCTCCGCACCTCTCCCCCAGGTCGTACTTCCTGCTGGACCTGTGCGGCACCAGCATTAGGGCGTTCGTGCTGTACGACTGGAACCCAGAGGCACGCCGCCCACAACCCAAAGCCAGCCCATGGTGAAGTCAGGGCAGCGAAAATATCCTGATGCCCCTGAGAATAACACCCGGGGGATAATAAAGTTCGGGGTCCTGGGGGGATGCTGAACGATTTGTCCCGGCAAGTCGCACGGGGGTGTATGACGAGGAAAGAGGAGGGCGTCGTCGTGAGAATATACTTCAGCCCTGCCAGACGGTCGTGACTTGGGAGAATTGAAACGGTGAGAGTTTCGTAGATCCTTGCCACACGTTTGTGACTGGAGCAAGCTGACATGGTGCCATAGCCATGCAACATAAGAAGATCGCAACTTCGATTCGTAATTTCCATCCGCAATAATGAAGTTCGGCCTCGCCGCCCCTCTCCCCCGACCAACTCTGCAATGGCCGGAGAGAATCAGCTCTCAGGGGGGAAGGGGGGAATGATGGATCATCCGAGGGCACAAGGTTACATGGATGCTTCTGCTCCGGCCAGTCAAACCAGCCAATATCAAGAAAGAAACGCATAATGAATACTTCGGCGCCTGAGAGCTGTGCCTGCTTCGATCAGGATTCGCTGGTTGAGCGGTCTTACGCTGTCCCTGGGTGCGTGGCTGCATTGGGCTTCCGCAGTGCGGATTGCCGTCCTTCTGTTGCCGGTCCCCGCCCCGCGACCCGCCCTGCGACCCGCCCGCGCCCCGCCCCGCGCCCCGCCCCGCCCTGTGACCCATCCGCGACCCACCCGCGTTCCACCCGAGACCCGCCGTCCCGCGAACAGCCCCGCGACCCACCCGGCATTCGCCCCGCGACCTGCCCCGCGTTCCACATTCGACCCGCCGCGCGACACCGCCGCGCGACTCGCCCGCCGACCCACCGAAGACCCTTCCGCGACCCACACGCATTTGTTTGTTTAATCGGATCTTTCGGCGGGCTCGATGTGTAAAGATAAGTTCGTGCCTGTGGCGGGCTTTCTCCTTTTTGATCCGGTCTCGCAGGCTGACCCCCTCGCGGTCTTATCCGCACTTGCCGGGGATGCGGGGAGCAAAAGCTACAAACAAGATCAAGTTGTCTCAATATTCCAGACAGCAACGTCGTATGATCTACGATCCGCCCCCAACCCTAATCTTTAAGTCGGGCCTGTCCCTCTACAGGAGGAATATTCGAAAATAGTTTAACAAATAGTCAGGGGACGTTTTTTTACTATTTCTGACCATGCTGGGAGTATTTTTTGAGTATTTTTTTTCCACCCCACATCCCCCTGTAGGACGACAAGCACGACCTAACCCTGATCCGATCGATCCGATCACAAACTTGTCACGATGACTTTTTTTTCCGGGGTCCGTCCTGGCCAGCTGCTCGCGTCGCGCCCGTCTGCGGAGACGAGGAGCTCGAGAGAAACGACGCAAAGGACCTCGGAAGCACGCACTCGTCGTCGTCGACGGGGGGCGACCGACGCAGAGGACCTCGGAAGCATGCACTCGTCGTCGTCGACAAGGGACGACCGCTCCTGCTCGAGCGGTCCCCTCCTCGCGAGGGGGGGGGAAGAGGAGAAGGAGGAGGATCGCAGAGGAAGAGAGAAGGAGGAGGATCGCGGAGGATCGCGGAGAAGGAAGGAGAAGGAAGAGGAGGAGAAGGAGAAGGAGGAGGAGGATCGTTGCTCTGGCGGCGCGCGAAAGGGGGTGGCGCAAGGGGGGGGGGGGGGCCTTCTGAGAAGGCGGGGGGGGCTTCTTCCGGCGGAGGCGCGCGTGCGGACGTGGATGCGGGCACGCACGGCACGCAGGGCGCCTCCCCCGGGTGGAGCCCGCGGGCCTGGCAAGGGGGGGGGGGGCGGGAACGCTTGGCGAAGTCCTCCCTCGGAGGGGGCCCCGGGGGCTTCGGAGGGGGACTGACTGGGCCTTTCCCCCCCCCCTTCATCGCGCCCCCCCCCCAGCAATTCGCGCCCAGCCCCCCTACCCTCTTGGAGGCCTTCCGCTCGGCGGGCCCGAAGGGGCTCGATGTCCAGATGTTCGGGGGAGAGGACAGTTTGGGCTCGCTGTCCAGGAGCGAATGTTTTCCCAAACCGGCAGCGGCTGCTGCTGGGCACGAAGCATTTCCGTCCTCGCTTCGGCCTTGCCGATCCGCCCGAGCCTGGCTTGCTCCACGCCGGCGTCGCCGGTGCATCGGCGGTGCAGCGCCATCCTCTGCCTGTTCTGACCCCACTTGGGCGGCCTCCGATCAGGCCCCAGGGCTGGCCCATGGGAGGAAATGTCCACCCCCCAATCGCCCATTCATCGCCAATCTGAGCGCGCGTGCTCCACTCCGCCCAGGAGCTGACGGTCGCGCGATCAAGGGCCTTTCGCCCGATCCCTCTCGGCGATGCATCGCGATTCCCCCCTTGGGGGAATCGCGATGGTCAGTCCACCTCTCTTCGTTTTCCCTCCCCTTCTCTTGAGGCCCTCCTCCGTCGTCCTCTGACAGGATCCGGCCGCGCCTCTCCCGCCGCGCCCCCCCCTCCAGGCCACCCCGCACCCTCTTACTCCCCCTCTTCGCCCTCCTTCGGGCGGGGCTGGGACGAGGATAAATCCGTTGCAGAGCGATCCAGAAGGCTCTCAGCGCGTTCCGGAACGCTCTGAGAAGGCCACGGCGCCCGAGGCATCCTCCAGAGCCGCTGGATCTCAGAGACTCTCGAATCTGTCCGCTCCCCGATGTTATCCTCGTCCTGGCTCCGTCCCACGCCCCCCTCATGCCCCCCCTCTCCCCGCCCTGCTCTCGAAGGCCCCCCGCGGCCACCCTCGCCCTCCCCTCGAAGTCCTCCGCCGCCGCCCTCTCGCATCATTATTCGGAGGCGGCCGCCCGCAGACCCCCCCCCTGCGCCGCCGTCCTCCTCCTCCTCTCTCCTCCTCCTCCTCCTCCTCCTCCTCCTCCTCCTCCTCCTCCTCCTCCTCCTCCTCCTCCTCCTCCTCCTCCTCCTCCTCCTCCTCCTCCTCCTCCTCCTCCTCCTCCTCCTCTCTCCTCTCTCTCCTCTCTCCTCCTCCTCCTCCTCCTGCTCCTCTTCCTCCTCCTCCTCCTCCTCCTCGTCATTTTTTTCGTATGCTGACGCCTATCTACTGCATAATCGACGCAAGACACACTCGCACACGTCTGGCACCCTCATGGGCGTGGCGTTGGCGCCCGACGAGCTCATGATGGAGCTTCAGAAGCTGATTGATGTATGGCGCCATCGCGTGGGCCAAGACCTACGAAGAACTGGTGCTGTGGTACAAGGAATGGTTTTGCGAAGGCGTCGTTGGAGGAGGCGTGGGATCGAGCACGACTATTTCGTAACTGTTACGATCAGGGCAAGAAGAAAGTTCACCTCTGCATCAAGAACGATCAGACGGTGCAGGTGACGATCCAGACAGCCGACTCCGCTGCACGCTCGTTGCCTTGGAGCACGCGTTCGCGTCGGCTGTTCATCTGAGCTCTGGCCGAGGTGGGTGGGCGTCGCGCGGTCGGGGCCGCGCCTACTGGGGCCATGGAAGGAATATCATGATATAGTCTGTTTGAGTGAGTTGCACACTGACATGATCCTTGCCCGCGTTTATCTATGCTACCGACGAATGTTGTTTCGTCCCGACGGCCGACGGCGCAATCACACTTACACTTTACTTGCTTGCACTGGTGGGCGCGGGACGATATTGCTGGGACTGTGATGGTATGTGCTCCTTCCACGCCCCCTGCACGTCGTCGTCCGCGCCCTGCTCGTGTACGGCACCGTGCTGGCCGCCACCCACCTGATGTTTGACTTCGTGCCTGGGCCACTTCCAGGCTTGAGGTTGCTGCTGCTGCCTTGTCGCTTCCTTGTATATACAATCAACCAGTACATCTGCAACCGTGTAGCGCGTCGCGCCCCGACTCGTCGGTACGACGGTTCCCCAGGGCCTGTTCTATGCATGTTGGGGCCTGTCTAGGCCCTCTTGCTTTTTCCTGGTTTAACCCAGCTTCGGCTGGCTGCCGTGAAAAATCGCCGAATTGTTTCGCTGATCCGTTGGATACGCACTTACAGCGTGCTTACTTTTTATTTTTTGTCGAGGGCCTGTACAGGCCTGCCCCGCCACGAACTTGAGGGAAACGAGGGACACGGCGTGCCTCTATGTCGCATTATTATTATTATTCCATGCTTATTACTTATACTGATACTAATAGTACTAGTATTGGCATTGTTATTATTAATAATATTATTATGATTATTAATAACTTTAAAACTCTTAGTAGTATTAGTATTATTTGTATTATTAGGATTATTAGTATTATTAGTATTATAAGGTCTGTTATTATTATTGTTCTTATTGCTACTACTACTACTATTATTTTTATTTTTATTATATATTAGTAGTATTATTATTCTTATTGTGATTGATACTCGAAGTATTATTATTGTTATCAGTATTATTACCATTAGCATTATTATTACTATTATTATTATCGTTATTTTTAATGTTATTATTATTACTGTTATCATCACGATTACTTCCTCCACCTCCTCCTCGTTCTCCTCCTCCTCCTCCTGCTCGTCCTCCTTCTCGTCCTCCTCCTCCTCCTCCTTCTCCTCCTCCTCCTCCTCCTCTCCTCTTCTCCTCCTCCTCCCCTCCTCCTCCTCCTCCTCCTCCTCCTCCTCCTCCTCCTCCTCCTCCTCCTCCTCCTCCTCCTCCTCCTCCTCCTCCTCCTCCTCCTCCTCCTCTCCCCCCGGGCGCCGCCCGCCCGCGCGCGGGCATGCCGCGCGGCCCGCGCGGCCCGCGGCGCGCCCCCGCCGGCTGGCTGCTGCTGGCGCGCGCCGCCGGCGCCGGGGGCGGAGGGCGAGAGCTCGCCGGGGGGCAGGACCCGGCGCGGCTCCGCGGGGGGGGGCGCGCAGAAGTCGGGGGAACGTAAGACTCGAGCAAGTTTCTGCTTGGTATCGCTCGGGCGTGTGTATTTCTTCTCGGCGGGGATTATGATGGAGCGTGCTGGATCATCCTGCGAAAAACCCACGCACGACCCCCCCCAAAAAAAAAACAG